TCCCCGGATTCACATCCAACGTCTTGAGCACATCATCCCGCTTGCCTCTGATCATATCGTTGATCCTCGAATACTTTTCGCTGAAAGGCTGCAAGACGAGGACGTTATTGTTTTTATTGAGACTTATCTACTAGCTGAAAATGAATGTTAGTATTGTCTTACACCGTCCGTAACGGAGTTCTTTCCATTGACCGTGGTAACCAAAAGCAAGGCAAGTAATTTGAATCTCATACTGGAACAAATATTGGTTTTGAATTAGCACTATTTTTCACTATGCCAGATGCACAAAATTTACATGGATAGGCTATTTGGGCCCTATCACCTGCTCCACGGTACGATGCACATTCCTTTCTGTGTTTCATTTATCAAAAAGCCAGTCAAAGAGGTTGTAAGTGTTGGACAATTAGGCGAGTCGAGTATTAAGCCTTCGAGTTAAAAAGACTTATGACTATGACCGAATAAAAGTATCCCAATTGATGTCATCCTTTATCCGTGTTACAACAAAAGAGAAGACAGCAAAATNGCAATATTTGGTTTGGTAAGACTGAGAAAACACGAACATCCTCCCAGTTTCGTGGAAAATAAACTCGTTCAAATGATGCCTCTTATGAGATATCTTCCACATGTCAGTCTCACTGTAATAAATCCTACCTCTCACCGTATTGTACAGTTTTCTCGAATTTTTGCAATTATTAGGTGTTATGACTTATCAAATTGGCAATGAACAAGGCGGTCAGTTCGAAGCATCATACGAGTGCTTCTGAAGGCGCCACAGATTCACAGTTGCCATTTCTGATTGAGTAACTTGTCCCGCTTCAGCCATGTTACCTATCATTTCAATTGTATCCCTACAAAGAGAATTCGGGGCTGGTCAAGGCTAAGCGAGTTCAACTTCATGAGCTTCATCTGCTAACTGGCTGCCATTTCTGATTGAGTAACTTGTCCCGCTTCAGCCATGTTACCTATCATTTCCTTACAAAGAAAATTCGGGGCTGGTCAAGGCTAAGCGAGTTCAACTTCATGAGCTTCATCTGCTAACTGGCTTTTGATTGGAGAAGTGGTGTAGGTAGAGCCATTCAACCACGACTTGCTTCTTTCACTTTCTTAGCAAACGTCTTCTTCTCTCTGAGCATATTCTAAAAATTATGGTAATCGTCATAGTCAGTATAAATGTCAAAACCACCGTGAAATAAGTACGTATCGATCGACCGTATGAGCACGTGCTTTCGACGTTCTCTCTCCATCGATATAATTTGCCTTACCTTCCTCAATTTTGGCCTTCTTCCGTTATTCTTCAACCATGAAGAGATTGTTGGTGTTCTCAGGCTGGTGGGAGGTGCTTTTGCATACTATGTCAGTATTCTGCCTGTTCAAATTGAAGTTTTTGTAGTAGTAGCTCGACGTTCATTATGAGCATTTATTTATATAATCGACATTACGCCGTTTTGAAAGTTTTTTTGATATTGAATATGATGTAACGCTCTGACTTACGAAATGTTTACGGCCCTAGTTGCTATTCTCACCCAGAATACAGTGGCTGGCTGCTTTCATAGTCCACGATTTGGCCCGCGAGCGAGTGAGCAACTGATCGTTCGATCGAGCGAGCGACCGGGGACTACTTGTCCTGCGGTATCGACCAAGATTCACTTGTAAACAAGGGGGGACTACTTGTCCTGCGGTATCGACCAAGATTCACTTGTAAACAAGGGGCAAGCACAGCCCGTGTTCGCCCGCTCGCTCGATCGATCGGTCGCTCGCGAGCCAAATCGTGGACTATGAAAGCAGCCGCTCTCTGCATGGTGGAGGCTATGCTTATCTCTTATGCCGATTGTCCAGCGCTTATCGGTCACTGGAGTTTGCACTTTGCATTATAAATTAGTCAAAGTGTAGGATGCTAACACACATACAAAAGCGACTTGCATACGAGCACGAATATGCCCCCGAGCAAACAATGACTATAGATGTCGAGGACAACCCAAGACCAGCTTGCTTCTAATAATTAAAAAAAATTCAAGAATGCTTTTAAACTGTAACTGACGCCCTACTCTGCAGTGAAGCCCATGCTAGGAGGGTTTTTGGCAAGTGGTCCTTCTTTTTCTGAGAGATTTCGCTTGAAGAGACTGCGTGCGCGCCCATATGTATGATTGGAAGCCTATTTTCATGAATTTATAGCCTGGAGCCGAAACTACAAGTAGGGCATATACAACTTGGACTTACTTCTTGCTGTTCAATTCACTTTCATTTTATGCCTATCTGTAATGTAAGAAATGCTCTTCCAATTAGAGGACTGTGGAAGAACAGGTGGTACTGGTTTGATTGCTATAAAGCAGAGGCATACCGTGGAGTGCCTCGCGGACCAGGGTTCAAGAAGCACGCCTGTTTTAAAGGCATCATACCTTTTGACTGGTTGCTTTCATAGTCCGCGAGCGGGCGACCGGGGGACTACTCGTCCGGCGGTATCGACCAAGATTCAGTTGTAAACAAGGGGCAAGCTCCGCCCCGATCGCGCTTGCGCGCTCGCGAGCCAAATCGCCGACCTTGAAAGCAGCCACTGATTGCGCGTCAAAAATGTCAAATGTAGTTCTTTCAGAAATAGTATTCTGTTGTAGCTGTACGCACGAGCCTTGTTCCCATTCTGGTAGGTCGGTGTATTCATACTCACTCGGTGTGCAGCTCTTTGGCGCCGTTTTCAATTTCGAAGGAAGTCTGGCACTGTTTGTTAGAATCATTTTAGAATCATTTTACATTACGTTAGAACTCCCAATGATCTTTCTTTTTTCCAATTGGATCTCTTTTCTCTCCCGCGGATTTGCTGGCGAGGACACTGTTCAAAGATGATGTTTTGTAACCATATGCTAAAACTTTCACTACAGTCTTTCTAAAATTTTAATATTCAACACTATACTAAAAAGGTCCACTTAAAGCTAAATCTTTGGTCGTACCATTATTGCGTCCAGAATTACAGGGTCATTATTCTTACACATAATTCAATTGCCAGAAAATATAGTTTGTGAACCGTAGAATGCTCTTCAACAGTAAAGTCAGTACGCGGGTCTTTTCATTCAACTGCAGTCGCATCTATAGTCATTATCTAGAACTGCATGAAGATATTCCAGCTCTTACCTAACTTGTTTTGAGCTTTCAATTTATTTTTGTTCCTCTACATTTACCCCTTTTCTACCGTACATTATTCACAGGGTATCTGGATAAATCTGGATAAAAATAATTTTTTATCTCAATAATTTACATAAAAAACATAAAATTGAGCACCAGTTTGGATTGGAGAGCAAGTCATGATTATGTACAAACAAGACAATTAAAAGAAACTGTCAACTGCTCCTACGAAGTAGTGGAATAGATAGATCACAATGAGGAAGGAATGACATAGTTATTGAGTTATTGCATCTACCGGAATTCATCTAAATCTCAACTTGAATGTATTCTCGATGTTTCCCTTGTTGCTCACGCTGTATCTCCTCAAGCTCATCGAAAATCTCTGTCAGAGGTTGAAATGATGGCGCTGATGAACGTAAATGAGAGAACTGAAATACCCATATGATATCTTTATTTTCTCATGTCTCTAGTACAAAAGAGTAGATAAAGCGATTGTCAGAGTATCGTTATCCACCGACCTATAACCCGTTGTGCTCTCAGTCAAGGCGAGTACCGTTAGACACAGATCCACAAATCCATTTCAACACCCCTTTTCAGTGACTCACTGCTTTTAATTCTATCCGAAATGATTTAAAATAAGCCCTTTTAGTTGACACTGGCTTCTTTCATGGTCCACGATTTTGCCCGCAAGCGAGCGAGCGATTGGGGCGGCGCTTGCCTCTTGTTTACAACCAAATCTCGGTCGATACCGCGGGCAAGCGCCGCCCCACTCGCTCTACCGCTCGCTCGCGGGCCAAATCGCGGACTATGAAAGCAGCCACTCGATGTATTACTTCGGTGGAATCACAAAAAGTTATGTGAGAGGAAAAATAGCATCTCTCAGAGTTAATGTGAGTAAGAAAATGTGAGATTTCCTATGAGCATATGCCGCAAAAGCACTGGAAGGCCCTTTTCACCTTCAAATTGTGCGGTATATTACTACCTTTGGCAAAGCGATACAAATGAAGACGACTGACCTGATAAAGATCTTCGAGCTGATCAACATTTTCGGATAGATTGACCGGTCCTGGAGGAAGTACATCTTCTACCCGTGCATAGATATATTCATTTAAAGCCGAATCGATCGTATCTGGGCGCCGGAATCTGAAATTCGATCAGTCACCTGAGCGTCAGATTCCCGCCAAGGAGGTAATATAAAGTAGCAGTGCTCTTAATCTCCTTATTTTGATCGCCCATTGCATTTCCTTCAGGGATATTGAATGATACGACCTGCACCCCAAAACTGCGCCTACAGTGATTCGGAGAGGTGCGAAGAAAGAAAGCGATATTGGGTTTAAGCAGAAAAATCAAGATGGAAAACGGCTTAGGTGAGGCGTCAGTGGTTCTCAAAGATTGCGTCAGCTGTATGCCACACCCAAAAGCGGACGAGTTTCATCGGCGTTGTGGATTCTGCCCCAGTCACAATGATGCCTATTAGAAATTCAAGCAACGAGTCATATAGCAACAGTGGAAGACAGTTTTACCCATTTTTGCTTTGATAAAATCAGCTCTAAACGCAATTGCAACCATTGAAATCTCGACCAAACACTCGTTCAACGCCATTTCTAGTTATAGTGAGCGTAATGGACGAGATATCGTACAACCCCTGTTTTCACTANTTTTGAGGCGACTTTTTTCGCGAAACCGATGGGTTTTCTCGCTTTCTTCACCACCGATGCACTATTTTCAACCTACACTTCCATTCTTCCACTTGAAAAGAGCACCTCTTTATTACTGTAAACTGTGCTTTTGAAGTTCTATTGAAAAGTTAATAAGAGGTAGGATGGAATAGAAACGAACCGTGAACGCGACTGGATCGGGTTTGGATTCACACCGATAGAAATGAGGTATTCCGTGACTGAGCTGTTCACCGATACCGTATCCTGATCGATTCCTGAATCTGGCTGTGAACGAGTTGAAGCGGCTTCACGATGGGACAGCAATGAATTACGCAGTCCAGAGTTCGACGAGGCTGATGACGTCATCGACGAAGTCTGGATGGAAAGTTGGCAATGTAGTTGTAAAGGGATAAAAGTTAATTAAAATAATTCTGATACCTTCTGCGAAACATTGCTTGGCAGTGGTTGCTTTGGTGAAGAGACCAACCGACAAATAGCTACGTTATCTTCTAGTTTTTGTTCCCGTTTTTCTCGTCCGATTGAGTAAACCTAAACGTAAACAACAAATACTGCGCTCCAAGCCTGAACGAAATGAATGAATAATAAAAGTGAAATGAATAAATATTTAGAATAAATAAGGAAAGCCGAAATGCAGGTCCAAAGACAAAGGTGAAGGAATTATGGGCGCAACCGAAGAATCAAATGGGAACTTTGAAATTCCGTGAAATACTTGAACTCATAGAAAAAAATTTTCTAAATTTTGACAATTTTTGAAGATTTGTTCCGGCAATGGCAGCATACGACCTAGGATGCTGCTAGGAAGACTGGAACATTGTCTGGGCTCCAGGATAAACTCTTCATAAGAATAATTCTGACTGTTTTAATCTGAAAATAACTGACCTGCTTTCGTGGACTGTCAATTTCCTTGGGTTTCGACGACCGATAGCCAAACAGACAACAACCCAGAAGACAGATCAACAGCACGAACAGAGCTGCAGTGGCAACGGCTCCGATTTTGAAAATGTTCGAGGAAAATGGCGAGTTTGCTGGTCGAAGTGGGAAATCGCCAATCTGAAAAAATCACTTGGGAATCGCTATTCCACATAAAGAGTTTTGAGTAATTCCAGTTGAAAGTTCCCAGCTATCCCACCTCGAGGTACACAGTAGCCTTCGTCTGTTGTAAATGGCTGCTAGCAGCAATCACAACAACCTGCTCTACCGTATGATTCCGACGGCCATCTGGTTTGGCTTTTAGGGTTATCTAAAAAGCGACCATCAATAAAGAAATGAAGTTGACGGTCAAAATAGAGAAACGTACCACTCCCGAAAGTTTGTCTACTGTAACCAGTTCATTCGGAGGTTCGATACGGTACTCAGGTACTCCATGGACACCATCATCAGCGTCAACAGCCAGAACGTTACCGATGGTGGCACCGGCATCAGCGTCAAGTGATACCTTGAAAGGACCAATATTATCATTTCTAGGAATGGAAAAATGGAACGGATGAGAGTTATAGTGGTAATTATGAATATAATCGAGGACTGATTAATGAGATGACCTGGAAGTGCAAGAAGAAGCCTTCACATTCCCCTTCTTCCCTCCCCCACCCCCTCCCAAACCCTATATATTCATGCGAATAGCTATGAAAATCCTACTTGGAATGTATAGCTGGAACGACTGAACACTGGAGCAAATTCATCGACTGGTACGACAACTATTTCGAGCGATACCACAGCTGATCTCCCCTGAAAATGAAATTTGAGGAAGTACGGTAGAAAGCATTCTCTAGCCTGCTAGATACGTACGTTCCCATCAGATGCCTGTAGTGACATCTTGTAGTTTTCTTTGGTCTCGTAGTCCAGTTGTTCTCTCAGGCGAATAGACCCATTTGCCGGTTGTATAGCAAACTTCTAAACAGACGTGATTGAGAATGGTTAAGAAGTATGAATCCAGCTAATCAGCGTCATAACCCAAATGTCATCTCTATTACCATCACTTATGGAATTCAGCCAATACTATGAAATGCAACGCAACCGCACGCGTCCCTTCCTGCAAACTTTCGAGGCCTTGAAAGAAGAAAACAAGGTATAAATAGTTCAAGTTGTTTTCCCATTTGCAAAACTGCCATTTTGGGGCTGACTGCACGCAACCGTGCTTCCCGGAATCCTCACGGTTTTCGAACTCTTCGTTAGACAAACGATTAAGAACAAAGATAAAGTCTTTTGGCGTTAATCAACCCCATCTATGCAATGCGATTCGACTTCCATCTAGAATCGTACTGACGTATTGAATACGTATGCGGCCTATACAATGACTTGCGGTGGCCAGCCGATGTACAAGTCAGTGCTTTTATCCTCCCAGACGAGTCTGGTGCCAACTAACCCCGGAGTGTTGGCAGGCTTGGTCGGCCTGGGCGAATATCCATCCCGGACTCCCACCCGTGCCTGATAGTGCGCCCTTACACCACTTCCTCACCAGATGGAACATCGTAAATATTAGTGATATTTCCTACCTCGTCATTGTCTTTTAGTTGATAACGAACACTCTTCATAGGAATTCCGAATCGATTCGTTGCTCGCGCTGTGAAAACGTAACTTTCCGGGGGAGTAGCCTCCGAGACAAGGACTAGGAATGACGGGAGGACGAAGAATGGCGCCGAACCGGACCATGACTGTAGTACAATAGAGACCTTTACAGGAATCAGAGTAGCCCTGAATACAGAATCTTGTGATGACCATCTTGATTAGGTTCATAGAAGACAATATGCTCACCTTGGAAAGCTTCCATGGTCCTTTGCTTCAACGTAAATGATCCATCGCCCATCGACATGTCGTGTAAGTTGCTCATCGTCCCATTGATTGAACATCAAGGCACCACTTTCAGATCCCATAGAGAAGATACCGTAGTCGTCTCCAGAGAGAATACGGTAACTGATGCGACCGTTATCTCCGCTGTCCGCATCGGTGGCTACTAGCCTGTAAATTTGCTTTGCTTATGTATATCTTATTCAGTCAAGGCCCCATAAGTAGAAAGCATAGAACTCTACAGCTCGTACTGCTAGAACAGTGGTAGCAGCCTTTCCATGAATTTCCACTAAACTAGGTTACTAAATAACGAAGAGGTAAGTGGAAGAAGAAGATTCTCCTATTTGGGGCGATATACCCGAAAATTTAAGTAATTGTTCAAATGTATTCAGAGACATAGGTTATTATCGGAACATATGAGGTTCTTAAGACTGCGGATAAGGCCGACTCAAGTCCGGGCCAGTCCGAGTCCGTGAGTCTTCATTTCATCTCGGTTATCGTGATAAATTGAGTGATGATGCAACGATAACGGTTGGATACAGTTGCGCACTGCTGCAGAAACCATCAAAAGACTTGGGTGATTCTGGGAAGCTTTCCCTTGGGTATCATTTTCTAATAGTATCCCGTACAGCCGATGCAGTGACAAGAACGTTTCCGAAGAGTAATTTAAAAAGAGTAACGAAAGCCAAGTCCAATCACCTCTGAATCAACTCCCCACTTCGCATTCCATCCCTAACTGTAACAGAGTACTCTGACTGAGCGAAAACCGGCGAATTATCATTGACATCTGAGACACGAATTGTAACGATAGCTGTGGAATTCTGATGATAGACCAGAGGTTGAGCGGCAACATCGATCTGAAACGTGATTATTCAAATTGGTGGTGAAGAGAATAGATTCGAAAGGGAATGATTGCCCTCATTCGTCAACTAAATGGAAATTTTATATGGAAGTTTGAGGTGAGCTGGGGAGGTCTTGGTAATTCGTGTATAAGTTTCGGACACCCCACTCTTCTGATAATCAGTGGCTTAGATAAAGCATTTAGAGCTGATCCAGTCGACCTCATCCAGTTGGAGACTTTTAAAGCCAAACGCCAGAGCGCTAGTACTAGCTAATTAGATTTTTCAACTCAAGTTCAGAGTCGAAGATTTAAATCATGGAAGAAGGCCTCAGGATAAGTAATTGATCGGAATCGTTAGCAAAAGACCAGAGGACAAGCAAACACTTAGCTTCGAAGACCATGATGAATCTACTAGAGCTATATCGTACCAAGACAACCTTCACTGGCACTATACACGGCCAAGGATATTATATGACTTTCAACATTTGAGCATTATGATGAAAAAACTTACAGAAAAGGTGTAAAGGTCTTTTGTCTCTCGGTCGAGCGGGGCCTTCAGTGAAAGACGTCCTAATTGATCAATGTCGAACACATCTGAAGCCTTCGCGTCCATGACTCGGTAGAAGAACGGTAACTGGCCCACGGATACATCGCCAAATGTGATATGCAACGGGAGCGATTCAGATACCACAAAGCTGAAATCGCTGACGATAAACAGATGATGGGATCCCTCAAGGAGAGTAACTTACTCATAATTTGAGTGGGGGAATTGGGGACGTTGTTGGGCTTCTTCCTTCGTTACCGTAATCCGCACTGGAATCGTCGACGACAACACCGGTGAACCGTGATCGCTCGCTGTTATGGAAAGCAGGAATTCTGCCTGTTTCGTCAGTGGTTGGAGTAGGGTCAGAGTTCCTACAGTAAACATCACAGCATGTTGTTGTTGGAAGAAGTCCAAAAGTCGGAAATTTTCTTACCATCGTTACTATCCAATTGGAAAACTTCGTACGATTCAGCTAAGGAGTATGACACTCTTCCATTTTCACCAGAATCCCGATCAAACGCTATGAGCTTTGCCAAGACATCGTCAACTTTCGTAGACTGTGGAATCTGGAATCAGAATGATATCAGAAATCGTCTACGGAGGGTCATGATTTTTTGGAATGGATTCCTGCAATTGAAGTGATTGTAGCCAGGTACCTTAAAAGTATAGACAGCGATATTGTACCCCTAAATCTTGGATCACTAACAGTTTCGCTTCTATTACTTCCCAAGTTTTGGAAAGCATTTCTATAACCACCCACTTCAGCAAGACGTGTGTTTGTGTGGGAAATACCAAACGCGACTCCAATCCCTAAAAAATCCCTCTCCAATGCGGTCCAGCTGTTTTCCATTTGAGTCATTTTTGAATTTACAAAATTGAGTTTCTTCAAATCGGGATTCCGCTCAATATTTGTTGCTATCACCGAATGGCAACGATACGCAAGCTATTGAACACTATAAACTCAGCCATGTAGGTGATTTCCTAATGATTTCAAAAAAGTACCTATAAAGAACTCCCAACAAATAATTCACTGAGTCAGTGATGCTTCAAGAGTGAGACAGTAACAAAAAATGAATTCTCACATCAATACTAGAAGATTTTAGGTCGGTCACAATATTTGAAAAGGAAAAATAGGCAAGACAATGAGGAGAAACCACCTTAATGTCTACAATTCCTTGCTGAAATTCGGGTGCATTGTCATTCACATCCATCACAGCAACCAGAAACGATGTCGTCGCCGTATAATTTCCATCTGTCACCTGGAAAAACATTCTGCAGGGACCACCCAAGGAAACACGGCAAAGGTAGGACAGATCCAGGGCTGGGGGACGGGTGTACTACGGCTGAAGGGTCGGTCAGTTGGTGGCTTACGGGACGGAGATCATGGATGGTCGAGTGAAATAAATGAGCATGGCATTCGACAGACCCTTTGGGGCGCCACACATGAGACTGTCATTCTTGGTCTTTCAGATAGATAAGTTCAAATTACAACTCTTTGCGGATTTGCAGGACAAACTTGCTTTCTTGAATTCACGAATTCAAGGTCATTGATAACGTCGGTACCCACAAACTCTGATAAGATCGAGAAAAGGATTAGTTAAATCTGCAGGACCCCATTCCACAGATCAAAGGGGAGGAAACGTTCGTGCTCTACATTAACTTGAAGGATTAGTACCCAAGAATGACTAAGGGAGTTATTACAATCCCTTAGGAGATTTCCACGGTCTGTCTACCGCTCAAACGGAAATATCCGCTCAGAAAAGTAAAAGCCAACCTTCACATCGACATTGATCTCATTGACAGTCTCGTAGTCCAAGGACGTAATGAGATGCACCACGCCAGAAAAACTAAATCGAAAATTTTGAAATTCCTACAATCGCCTTTCAGAGAAAAACACAGAAGAGCTTTCTGGCTGCCTGATCGATTAACTGTCGGTCGAGTAAAAATCGATAATTGCCCCAAACTCACCGATCTATAACGAATCTCTCCTCCTTCGCGTCGAGGCTGTACTCCAACGCGGCCAGATTATCCGCATCAGTAGCCGTTACCGTAGTCACATACGAGCCAATCGGAAGTGCTGCAATCATTTACCGTAATCCCAGAAAATTCAACCACCCAGAACTCTTTTCAAAAGGCTCACTTTCTAAAACTTTCTTTTTCTGCTGTCGCGGGAAAGCCGGTGGATTGTCATTGTTGTTGTTGACTGCAAGAAAAAATAATAACAAACCGTAAATCAACGATTTGAACGTTTGGAAACTAAAAGAAAACAAAGTATCACCGTCCACAGAGAGATGGGTCTCAATCTGACTGGCAAATGATCCGGTGGCGATAATTTTCAGATCATAATGCTCTTTTATCTCGAAATCCAACTCCTGGGCAGTTCTTATCATGCCGTCGCCATCAATCTGAAATCATCGATATTGACAAGAAAAAAATAAGCTGGAAATATTCATTTGTTCATGTTTTAGCCACCGAATTATTAAAATCGTTTGAAAGCGAAATCTACATAGTAATTATAAGTTCAGATGTTACCCAATGATTTTCACTGTCGATTGGAAAATAAAAGTAGAAAGGTGTTGAGCAACTCTGCTTTGAAATGCTCTTCACACTCGACCACCAATTAGAAAGGTAGTGGTATTTTCATATGCGCAGCCCATAGGCGGATAAGGCGTATTGAGAAGTGGCGCACTGTCACACACACATGGTCACGAGTTCAACCCAGATCGATATCCGCCTAGACCAAACAAGCCTTCGATTCCTCCGGGGTCGGGTAGATGGTACCAGATTCATCTTGGAACATAAAAGCACTGAGTTATACATAGTTACGTTATACATAGGTTGGCCACCACAATCCATTGTATAGGTCACATACGCATTCAAAACGCCATTACCATTTTGAATGGAAGTTGAGTGCGGGGCGCATCGCTCAGACGGAATTGATCAACGTCACGTCCAAAGATTTTACCCGTCTTATGGGGGCCTATACAATCACTTGCGGCGGCTAGCCAATATTCAGGTCAGTGTATTTATCCTCCTAAACAAGTCTTGCACCCCGATCCCATAGAGTTAGAAGGCTCGGTTGGCGAAGCCGGCTACCAATGTGCGATTTGATCTCCGACCCATGCATGTAACAGCGCACCACTTGGCTCAATACCACCTCCGCCTCATTAGGGAATGGATTTTGTTTGAATTGTAAAATTTTAAATTCGTAACTTAATACTGATTCGAAAATCTCAGAAACCAAATGTGAGTTTAATTTAAAAAGAATCTGACCTCGAAAGCAGCGTCATAATTCCCTTCGACGATACTGTAAGTGATTCGAGAGTCTCTAGACGATGTCGCAACCTAGAAAACCTTTTTAGGATGATGGGTGGCACTTGGGGCGACTATCGATTACCCTCGAGACGAGTTGTCCCGGCGTCAATCCTTCGTCGATCGATGCGACGTATTTCTGCCGCAGAAAACTTGGCTGAGCGTCAGGTTGCGGAGGATGAAGAGAGCGGGAGTTCTGTACTCTGAACAGCCGGTCAACGCCAAGTGATGGTACCCCCTTATCCTGCACTCTGACACGAATCATCCAGTCCTTTCCTACACCGTTTGGCTCTCTGGAAAAGTATATTTGACCAACAAACTTTTTTGTAGTTCTCATTAATTTCTTTCATTTTTCTCGGCCTTCTTTTGATTATTTTCTAATTTTTTTGAAATTCTTTTATTTTTCTCGGCTTTTTTTTTGATTATATTTTGGGAGTGAGTGACCATCTATAAAATCGATCCTAGCGAACCTTTGCTGCTACAGTTTTTGAACATATCAGGATCTCTAGATGGAACGATTTATCTGAAACCTAGAGCTCCAGGGGAATGTTCTTCGAGTGCCTAAGCTCTTTTATTTGGTTCAAAAGCCTAATCTGATGTCCATCCGTTTCTGTATGTGGCATGGGATTACTGCACAACTTAGAAGGAATCATTTTGAGAATTTTCACCCAATCATGAAAATTCCCTTTTAAGCTCCAAGCACGTCTTCGAAACCGCTAGAATTAATAGAGCGGCTGATGGGAGAGGATTTATGTCCTCTCTTGAAGCACCTCAATCGCAACAAAAATAAATGTTCAGCAACATTTTTGACTCAGCGTTCTAATGACAATAGCATGTTGGCACCTTCTATGGCAGGCCTACAGAGGAAAAGGCTCTGACGGTCCTGGGAGGGAGACTGCCTGCTCACATGGCATCGCCCTGAGCTTTCAAAAATTTTCAGGTGTTTCATAATTATAATGTTATCGTTAAATCAAGCCCTTGAAATGGAATACTGACCCTCGTTCCATAATGAGATTCACGGTAAGCAGGGGAACGAAATTGTGTTCCTCCCAGAGAAGGGCGATAGTGACATTTTTTCAAACGGAATCGAACTAGTGATAGTTTTGGATTGCGAACACGACGTTGCCCCTCCGTAACATGACAGTGCTGTTGCAACGTTCGATCCCAAAAGCTACCTGACAAAGATGAGTTCACCGGTTTCCGGCAAAAGATCGAATGCTGTACTCAAATCCTCGACCAAATCGAAAAATACTCGTCCATTCGCACCAACATCATGATCGAATGCTGTGAACCTGAACAGAAACTATTGTGACTTGAATATCACCACAGTCGTAGGACCGAACTCCCACTTAAACCAGGAAGACCACCCTACATTATATAACTCGCTACTTGTGTTTGTCGGTTTGTCAACTTGTGTGTGTATGTGCATATGAGTGTGTGTTCGGTGTGGATATGTATGTCATTGGGTGCTTTGCAGGTAATTCCCAACTTTTGTCCCCCTGGACCTGGAGGTGATGGGAGTTGATAGACGAACTTAGATGACAAGAGCTCCTGGGTTGGTTACGGTGGCCTTTTTGTAAAAATACTGTTACCGTATTGTTGACAATGGTAGAACGAATGGTTGAGACTACGGTCAGCCGCCTGCGACAGTCACACGTTATGAGCATTTTGAGTTCATCATCTACTCGTGCTCACCACCAAAATGCACTACACCGCGTCGCGACCGCGCGCGTCTGAGACGTCTCTCCCACTCAACGGTGTCAACCTTCCTTCCTTCAGGAATCCGTGTAAGCTATGCCTCTGTTTAAGATGGAACAAGAAGCGGGAACCTAGGTAATCATTTAAAACAATCAGACTCACTTGTAAACAACATCGCCAGGCGATACAGTACCATTGATAGAAATCACTTGTGAAGTGGAAGCAGCGAATTGTGGAATATTGTCGTTGACATCGGACACCGTAATCCGTACTGTACAAGAGTCCTGAACAGAAAACTTGAGAATCTGTCGTGTGTGTAATCATAGGCACTTACATTAATTTCTCCATCCTGTGCAACGATGACCAGCAGATGCTCGGAGTGTTGCTCTCGATCAAGTGCTGGACTGGATAGCTTCCCAGTGGAGGGATTGATTCTGAAGAACCGATTGGATCCTGAAGCGCAATTATGAATCTTACTGTGGTCATGTAGCCTTTACTACCTTTCCTTACCTCTTATACCGAATATCGTACTGTTGGAGGCGTTGAGGGCAACAATCTGCTTGAAATTCTTCAGCGGGCGGTTTTCGGGCACAGTAATTGATCCACAAGAGGCGGAGCTTATCCGTAGGGTTGTCTGGTCTTTCTCAGTCACTCGCACCACTATCGACAACGAATCGATCTCGCCATGATCAGATTTTGCGATCACTGGAATAGGAACTTGAATATTTGCAGATTGAACAACCAAAAAGAAAAGCAAAGGTTTCGGATGTTAGCGCACCTGAGAGACGATGGATACCGGCGTTTACAGTATTCGTCAAGGAAATTTTTCCAGAATTATCGATTTCAAAGGTCGGCGTTGATGGGAAGAGCCGAATCGCTGCTTTTCCTAAAAGAAGCGATGGAATGTGAATTGATATCGCTTTGACAAGGTGCAACCATTGGTTAACTTTTGTCTTAGACGGCTGGGTAGGCGGTGACGCGACGCAACCGCTCGCGTCGCGTCCTGTCACTTTTATATCTTCCACTCAGACTGAAAGGAGTTTTCATGTGGAGTTCGACTAATAATCGACTACGTATTGGGTATCAGCAAGCTCTTGATGGGTCTACGGTAGATAGAACACAGATCTGCCAGTATTTTCTTAGCCTGTCTCCTTTAGTCAAGGAAGGTGGTAAAGGGTTTTGGCTATTCAGGAGGCCTCACACATTCTTCCCGCATTCTTCCAAAATCGAGATTCTTTGGTCAAATTTCTCCCTATCATTTATGAATTAAAGATTTTCTGCAAAATGCTTATCGATATGGGACAAAAAATATTAGGTTGATGCATATTTATTGCGGATTTTTTCGCGGCTCTTTTTCTCTTGAAAGAATTTGACTTTCAAGTTCGGGTTTTTTTCTAGAAATGATCTACTTGATTTCCTCTACAAGAATATACTCGAAAAACCATCCGTATATTCGC